AAAAAAGTCTCCAAAAGGTCTATCTGTGGGCAAGCCTATAGGACATTTTCTTAAGTAATGATTGATATGAGAGGGACCAGAGGGACCAGCCCATTGTGTTGGGTGCTATCCCTGAGCTGGTGGCCCTCGTTCCTATCAAAAGACTGGCTGTGCAATCCCATAATGCACAATCTGGTAAGCAACCCTCTACAGCCTTGCATCAGTTTTTGCCTAATGTTTCATGTCCTCACTGTCCCTGATGAACTGTTATATGGAACTGTGAGCAAAATAAACTCCCCAGGTTTCTTTTTTGTCATGGTGTTGTATCACAACAGTAACCCAGGGCACCTTGCTTCCCCATTTAGCTGTATAAAATACCTCAGCTCCTCAGTTCAGATTCAGATGTATTAAAACACACATATACACAACACATGCACACACACACACACACACACACACACACACACACACACACACACTTGCTGAGTTTCCTTAGTTTCTAGGCTACAGCTGGTTGCCTCCATAAGAGGCCATGGACCTACTAAATACAAACTTTCCTGTATGTGTATCTTTCACTTCTTCATTCCATGCTACTCAATTAAGGTTAATATGTAAGCAAAATGAACAATAAACCTTTATTCATGACTCCATCCTCACCCATTAGGTGCAAGCAATACTTCAAAAATCAGAACCATGAACAAACATTGCCCTTGTAAGATCTTCAGACAAAGGAAATTCTTGTGTTTCCTTAAGTGATTGGAGCTATCTGATTACAGTGTCATCGACAGAAAGGTCTCAAGGTCTTGCGATTGCACCGTAACACTAGGCATCTGTGAACACCAGTCATCCATCCCCACCAGCATCCAGGGTTGTAATTGAGAAGCCATAGAGAGAAAGAAGGGCATACTAAGAAACCAGAGCTCTTTTTATTACTATAGCTCTATAGTAGAGCTTGAAGTCGGAGATGTTGATACCTCCAAAGATGACTTTATTGTACAGGACTGTTTTAGCTATTCTGGGTTTTTTGTTTTTCGTTATGAAGTTAAATATTGTTCTTTCCAGGTCTGTGAAGAATTATGTTGGGATTTTGATGGGGATTGCATTGAGTCTGTAGATTGCTTTTTGTAAGATTACCATTTTTTCTATGTTAATCCTACCATCTCATGAGCATGGGAGATCTTTCCATTTTCTGACATTTTCTTCAATTTCTTTCTTCAGAGACTTAAAGTTCTTGTCATACAGGTCTTTCACTTGCTTAGTTAGAGTTACCCCAAGGTATTTTATATTATTTGTGGGTATTGTAAAGGGTGATGTTTCTCTGATTTCTTTCTCAGCCCAATTGTCATTTGTATATAGGAGGGCTACTGAGTTTTTTGAATTAACCTTGTATTCTGAAACATTACTGAAGGGGTTTATCAGCTGTAGGAATTCCCTGGTAGAATTTTTGGGGTCATATCATCTGTAAATAGTGCAAGTTTGACTTCTTCCTTTCCAATTTGTATCCCCTTGATCTCCTTTTGTTGTCTTATTGCTCTAGCTAGATATTTAAGTACTATATTGAATAAATATGGGGAGAGTGGACAGCCTTGTCTTGTTCCTGATTTGAGTGGAATGGCATTCAGTTTCTCTCCATTTAATTTGATGTTGGCTGTTGGCTTGGTGTAAATTTCCTTTATTATGTTTTGGTATGTTCCTTGTATTCCTGATCTCCAAAACCTTTATCATGAAAGGGTATTGGGTTTTGTCAAAGGTATGTAAAATGGAAAAAATCTTGAAAAACGTCATATTCAACAAATATTTGTTCAAATTTTGGGGAAAAAAGCCAGAGCTATGCCAGGCATGGTGTGACTTAAAGATGTGGGATCCTAAGTCTGCAAGACCACTTTTGTAGGCTCTGAAGGACTGTCTTTGAGAAAATGGAGGAAATGAGAATTCCTCCTACTAGTTCATAGGCAGGATATTTATTAGCTTCATGAAAGTATCTTGGGAGGAGCATGGTAGAAGCAGAACACAGCACATGGAGCTCAGTCCAGACATCAGGTGAGTTGTTGCTGAAATGAGCTTTACATTGTTTAGCTAGGTGGCCACACCTTCTACCTGGGTTGACATCAAGTTAAAACTTCATGACCTTGGACCAGGATGCTACCTGCAGCTGAGGCAAACCCTGAAAGTAGCTTGGAAAGCAAGTATGTCCACTAAGGTTCCTCTTAAGAAGAAAGAGCAGAAACCAGTAAGAGAAAGCAACTGTAAGCCAGACCCTAGTGTAGGACTCAAAGCTGGCCCTGTCATTTACCCTCTTGTTCAAGGGAACTCTGAGATAAGACTGCATCCTCTGCAGAAAAGCATAGCATATTGGTACTTGCCTATTTGCCCAGGTATCTAACCTTTTTGAAAACTTGTCTGCACCTTGAGTGGCATGATAGGGAGCTGACAGAAAGAACCCTTCTACTAATATTTTCAGGGTATATCAGCTCCTTACAGCAAAATAAACTTTATCTTGTAATCATTTGTAAGTGAGTCAGCAGGATCATTTTGGAGGTAAAGTGCTGTGGGATGGTCTGTATGCCAAATTGCTCTGATTGATCAATAAATAAAACACTGATTGGCCAGTGGCCAGGCAGGAAGTATAGGCAGGACTAACAGAGAGGAGAATAGAGAAAACAGGAAGGTGGAGGGAGTCACTGCCAGCCGCCGCCATGACAAGCAGCATGTGAAGATGCCGGTAAGCCATGAGCCACATGGCAAGGTATAGATTTATAAAAATGGATTAATTTAAGATATAAGAACAGTTAGCAAGAAGCCTGCCACGGCTATACAGTTTGTAAGCAATATAAGTCTCTGTGTTTACTTGATTGGGTCTGAGCAGCTGTGGGACTGGCAGGTGACAGAGATTTGTCCTGACTGTGGGCCAGGCAGGAAAACTCTAGCTACAAATGGTGCCCAACGTGTTGGCAAAAGTTTCCATCTAAAACCTGAGAAATAAGATTCTAAAACGGAGCTAAAAACAGTTCCTAGTTGTTTCTCTCAAGTTAGTGGCAGCCTGCATGTTTGAGCTACTATGGCAGGTTTCTGGCATGTGCACTGGACCTGCAGTTTGGTGGGAATGAGGCCTCTGCAAGTGATACATTAAGCTGCGTGGTGGATTTAGCCTTTGCTAGTACAAAACAAAAAGAGGTTTCTGGGCTACATGCTGCTTTGATAGAAACATAGAACCCCTATTTCTGAGAGTTGATGGCTTCCAGAGTTGGCGGAAAATGTACCACCGCCATATTGGGAAGCTCAAGTGGCTGGAGCCAGCAGCCACAGTGCTGTTTCAGTCTTACAATGCTGCAGTTTAAAGCAATTGGCTCAAGGTAATATAAAAAAATAAGCCATGTAAAAATGGCTACCACACAGAGAATCTGGATTATGTTCTTTTTGATATTCATAACTGAAGAAATACATTTGATTGCAAAAGCTGTTGAGTTATGCCAAAATGTATATTTTAAAGGTACCTTGATTTCAAAATTCGGATTTAAGGATATGTTGCTTTGGAAAGGAGGCTCTGCTTTTGTTTCCACAGAAAGCCAGAGGCTATGGATTTGTACCAGATTAATATATATCAGGTTTGACCAGTCAAGACCACCTGAAAGGTCTCCAATGACACCATGGCCCAGATAATCCAACATCCAGATCAGATTCAAGGCAACTGGCTCAGATGTTACACCCTCATGGACTACTCCATAATCCTAAAATTTTCTTTGTGCCCCCATAAGATACAGCACTCCCCTCCAGCAGGAAGTAGCTATGCCCAAATTCCCAAATATACCAAGCTGGCTTTGGAGATGTGTAAAAGTTAAAGCCTTCCTTAAAAAAAAGAAAAGAAAAGAAAAGAAAAGAAAAGAAAAGAAAAGAAAAGAAAAGAAAAGAAAAGGGGAAGTGCTGTGGGATGGTCTGTATGTCAAATTACTCTGATTGGTCAATAAATAAAACGCTGATTGGCCAGTGGTCAGGCAGGAAGTATAGGCAGGACTAACAGAGAGGAGAACAGAGAAAACAGGAAGGTGGAGGGAGTCACTGCCAGCTTCCACCATGACAAGCGGTATGTGAAGACACTTGTAAGCTATGAGCCATGTGGCAAGGTATAGATTTATAAAAATGGATTAATTTAAGATATAAGAACATTCAGCAAGAAACCTGCCACAGCCATACAGTTTGTAAGAAATATAAGTCTCTGTGTTCACCTGGTTGGGTCTGATTGGCTGTGGGACTGGTGGGTGACAGAGATTTGTCCCGACTGTGGGCCAGGCAGGAAAACTCTAGCTACAGTAATGTTTGCAACTCTGTTGACATCTAGAAAATCCAATACTGGCAATACAAAAATGGTTCCATAAAACATTTTCATAGTCACTCAAAAACAAGAATTCTAATCTGCAAAAATGCATGAGAGGTTCCTGTCATCTCTTAATTGTGTTATCCTGGCATGTAGTATGTCTACAAATCTGTATTTGTAGTTCTATATGAATCTTCCATAATTAATGTGCTAATCATGTTGAATAGTATTTTTCCTACTGCACTGAGTACTGCTAAACTAATTTTCTTAACACTTTTAGGGTTTTCTAGTTGTACATGACCATGCTTGTTGCATTATTTCTATTTGTAGATTTTCACTGGTGAATCAGTATTTTAAAGGCGGATAATAGTTGAGTATTATTATTGGTGTGTGTGTCTGTTCTTTTAGGATCAATTTTCAGATGAATCTACACTTCTAGCACTAATTTTGACAAATGCAATGCATATGGGGGTTTTCTAGACTGGACTTTATAAGGTACATTAATTAATGCCTTATAATGAGGAACTAATTTAACAAAATTGTGAACAAAGTGTTTTATTTTTAATATCAAATTTCTGGTAGACAAAAGTTTTGAGGAAAATTTGTGGGTTTATCACATGTTTTATAATATGATTTTCCAAGAGAAATGAAACATGCATATATATATTTACTCATAAAAAGAAAAGAACTGGGACTGCAGAGCTCTTAGCAGCCAGATGGACTCAGTTCCCAGGGAAAGGACAAGGATGGCAAGATCTTTTAGCCTTTAGGGGATGCCTTTGTTAGGCACCATTCACAATGGGCAGCTCCCACCTGCGGGTCTTTGAACCCCATCTAGAGAGGAAAGATTCCGAGGTGCTCTCTGGGTGCCAGCTGCCCTTGCCTACCTTCGATGTGCCTTATTTCAAATACATTGACGAAAAAAATGAAGATGATGAATGGAGCAGCTGCTCACAGTCTTCAACTGAGGATGACTCAGAGGACTCTCTGCTCTCTGACGGGTACATGGTGGTGTCTGGAACCCTGGAGAAGATCTTGGAGCATCTTTTGAATGACTTACACCTGGCAGAGGTCTAGCACAAAGGAACAGAGATGCTCCTTGATGGCTTCCTTCTCACATATACAGTATTCATGACAACTGATGACCTGTGCCAGGTGCTGTTAAGACACTATTCTGCTAAGAAGTATCAAGGGGAAGAAGAAAACTCAGATGTCCCTTGTGGGAAGCATAAGGTCTTACATATGGTTTCACAGTGGATCGCTCTGTACAAAGACTGGCTACACGAAGATGAACATTCAAAAATGTTTCTAAAGACCATATACAGGAATGTGCTGGATGACGTCTATGAATACCCAATTCTTGAGAAAGAATTGGAAGAATTTCAGAAGATACTTGGGATGCATCGTCATCACACTGTCGATGAATATTCACCGCAAAGGAAGAATAAAGCCCTTTTCCATCAATTCAGTCTTAAGGAGAACTGGCTCCAGCACAGAGGAGCTGTGGCTGAAACAGAGGAAATTTTTTTTGCCATGTGTATATAACAGAGCACTCCTATGTCAATGTGAAGGTGAAAGTTTCCAGTACAGCCCAGGTAATCCTGAAGGTGGTGGCTGAGAAGCTACAGCATGCTGAAGAGGATCTGGCTCTGGTGGCCATCATGTTCTCTGGAGAAAAGCATGAAATTCAGCCAAATGACTTGGCCATTTCCAAACCCCTGGAGGCATCAGGTCAGATATTTGTCTACCGCAAAGATCTAGCAGACACTTTGTATCCTTTTGCAGAAAATTAGGAATCACAGCAAAGGTCGATGATGATTTTGGGAATGAACACTTGGGACCTTGCTCTGGAATTAATGAGCTTTGATTGGAGTCTGTTCAACTCAATTCATGAGCAAGAGCTGATCTACTTCATGTTCAGCAGACAGGGAAGTGGGGAGCACACAGTCAACCTCAGCCTTCTGCTCCAGAGATGCAACGAGGTCCAGCTCTGGGTGGCCACGGAGATTCTGCTCTGCAGCCAGCTAGGCAAGCTCATGCAGCTGGTGAAAAAGTTCATCAAGATTGCTGCTCACTGTAAAACTCAGCAGAACCAGAAACTCTTTCTTTGCTATCATGATGGGTCTCAACACTGCCTCTGTCAGCTGGCTGTCCCAGACCTGGGAGAAAATTCCTGGGAAGTTTAAGAAACTTTTCTCTGAACTTGAAAGCTTAATGGATCCTTCCCTAAACCACAAAGCCTACTGGGATGCATTCAAAAAGATGAAGCTGCCAAAAATCCCTTTCATGCCCTTATTGCTTAAAGATGTAACATTTATTCATGAAGGAAATAAAACATTCTTGAATAATCTTGTCAACTTTAAAAAGCTGCACATGATTGTAGACACTGTCCAAACGCTGAGACACTGCAGAAGCAACCAGTTTGGAAGTGACATGTCTCCATAGGAGCAGCAAGAGTCCTATGTCAACCACCTATATGTCATCGACAGCAAGCAGGCCCTGTTCGAGCTCTCTCACAGGCTGGAGCCCCAGGCCTGAGCCATGCCATTCTGCCCTGTGACTGCAGCACGTAGAGTAAAGGGAAGGTCTCTGTACAGCATGTTGCTTCCTGTGAGAAAAGAGATTGCTGAGTTTTATCAGCATACCATGAGACAAGTGCAGGGAAGCCAGCCAAAGCAAGTTGGGGAAGTGATATCATCCACCAGAGGTGGGAGAGTGCCCCCCTCTCCACCTCTGCTGTCAGTGAGAAGACAAAAGGAATCAGAACATCCTGGGAACAGGGTTTTTCTTATGATGGTGATTTCAATCCAGTCCAAGTCTCAGCTTATGGTGTGGCAGCATTAAGAGAAAACATGTCTTGATATACAGCAGCCAGGTTGTTGTTGTTGTTGTCCAGTAAGATTGTGTGTATAACAGGAAGGACTGTCATTCCACCTGCACAACTTGACTGCCTATGGGCCATTAAGAGACTGAGAACACCTGAAGACATCTTCAGTGAGAGCATCTCCAGAGGGCCCAGGAGGAGAGGCTTCTTCAGCTAGAAACTGGACATCACCCTGGCAGGCATGGCCTGCTGTGCAAACAAGAAATGCCTGGCACACACTTCTTTGCTTCCACAATCATTTACCAGTGTATAGGCAGATGAAACTAGCTTCTGTACCACTGATGTACTCCTGTAAGCAAGGTAGACTGAGGTTCTCATCTAATAAAGAACTTGGCAGCGTTCAGTTTCTGGGAATGTACTTTACATATATTTTTGTTGTTGTCATTGAGCACAACATGATTTTCATAAAAACCTGGGGCCCAGATGGTGGGTGCTCAATGTCCACTTACTGAGATCACAGAATTGCCAGTTTCTGCCTTCTTGTGCCTGATGCAGCCTTGGTGTTTGCAGAACTCCACCAGGCTCCCTGCCTACAGGATGCAGAATGTCAGCCCATGAGGGAGCAGGAGTGAAGCAGAGTATATATCATTTAGCAGAGTATATATTGCTTAACAGTTGGGCTTACCAGTCTTTCAGTGATTGAAAGGTACCCAGAAATGCCTAAAATAAGACTTAACTGGAGAGCTGGAACCCCCACAGTCCACTTCCCAAGTAAAGCCAGAACCTCTCTGCAAAAAAAAAAAAAAAAAGAACTGAAAAAGAACAAAGGATGTCAATGAAGTTCATCTTGCTGAATGAATGAGTTTTATTCAGGTTACTTACAGGTATATGTGAAAAGAGTTGCTTACAGTCATAAAAAGGGCTCAGATAGTTGCTACCATGAAATTCAAATCAACCTTGGGATACAACTTATGAACAATGGACACCCTGAGCCCACTACACACGTGTAGGCTTGTTTATATGTTGGAGCATATGAATGATTTCACACATACACTACATTGTAAGGTTTCTCTCCTATATGAAGTTGCTTATGTATTCTAAGTTTTGAAGAACTTGAAAAGGAGTTCTCACATTCCCAACATTTGTAAGATCTTTCTCCTGTATGAATTCTCTCATGTTTTCTAAGTCCTGATCTATATTTAAAGAATTTATTACATATTCTACATTTAAGGTTTCGTCCCTGTATGAATTTTCTTATGTGACTCAAGATTTGTAATACATGCAAAGGATTTTATACATTCATTACATTTGTAAGGTATCTCTTCTGTATGAACTATCTGATGTCTTTTAAGATATTAAGTATATGTAAAGGATTTCTCACATTGCCTATATTTGTAAGGTTTTTCTCCTGTATGAAACCTCTGATGATTTGTAAGGGTTGAACTATTTGCAAATGACTTTTCACATTTACTACATTTGTAAGGTTTCTCTCCTGTATGAATTCTCTGATGATATGTAAAACTTTATCTATATGTAAATGACTTCTCATATTCACTACGTTTATAAACTTTATCTCCTGTATGAAATCTCTAATGATATTTAAGGTTTGAACTATATGTAAATGACTTCTCACAATCACTGCATTTGTAAGGTTTCCCTCCTGCATGAATCCTCTGATGATTTTTAAGAGTTGAATTATGTCTAAATGACTTCTCAAATTCACTACATTTGTGAGGTTTCTGTCCTTTATGAGATTTCTGATGTGTTCCAAGATTTGAGCTACATCCAAAGGATTTTTCACATTTACCATATTTGTAAGGTTCCTCTCCTGTATGAATTCTCTGATGGTTTCCTGTAGCATCGCTGGTGTTATAAGCTATACACCTGAGATGATTCATAAAGCATTTTGCCAAGGTCATTATTTTTGTAAGACTTCTTTTGGATATTCACGTGCTGATAGACAGTACTATTTGATCCTTGATCCATGATGTTCTCGTATTTACCACACATGCGATGTTTCTCTGGAAAGTGAGAACAAATAGGGCTAAGAGGAACTGATGAATGAGTAAGAGATTCAATACTTGAAGTCCCCTCAAGTTAACCAGCATTTACTAGAAGCAGAGCTCTCAGCATAGGCCTTCTGTGTTTACTATCACTAACTGAACAGTGATAAAAACCACTCTAGTCTCCATTAAACACAAGGATCACTGAAGGGGCTTCCATCCTCACATGAAATGGATATTTTGAAGAGGCAGGAAAAATGGGTGTTTGAGAAAGCATCATATGTGGATTATTTCTATACAGGGTCATACTGTGAAGCCTTGTGTAGATGTAACCAACCACCTTATTAAATAAGAAACACAGAACCAATGCAAAGAAGAAAGCCGAGAGGTCAGAGCTAAGAGCTAAAACCTTACCCTTCCTCCTGCAGTGGTCCTTCCTCTCCGAACCAGAGCTACTTCCTGTGTTTCTGTCTTTTTATGGTGTTTCTGTTCTGCCTTCTCATTGGTTGTAAACCCAACCACATGACCGCCTCTTCAGGGCCTGTCTGTATAGATCTCCAGGTTTTCTATGATTGGTATTGAGATTAAAGGCATGTGTATCCAATACTGGCTGTATCCCTGAACACACAGAGACTTACCTAGCTCTGCCTACAAAGTGCTGGGATTACAAGCATATGCCACTACTGCCCTGCTTTCCTATGGCTTGCTAATAGCTCTGACCCCTGGGCAAATTATTTATTAACATACAAATAACATTTGAATACAAATAAAATATCACCACAGCCTTGGCTGACTAGTAACTCTCTATGTAACCCAAGGTAGCCTTGTGAGACCAAAATGAGCCATCTTAGATATAAGACCAAAATGCTTTCACCCTAAAACTGAGGCCTCAGATTTCTCCTTTTAGGTACAGGCTATGAGTTACTAAAACCAGTCAGTTCAGATTCCAGAAACCAGAAAGTATAAAAGTACAGAGTCACAAGGTAATGACTGCTGGACTATGGAATGTCCTCTCCCTTGTTTCCACTGACCACAGAAATGTCCCCACCTGAGGGCAGCCAATAAGAAATGGTGGTGGGTAACTACTCCCTTAGAAGTAAGATTAAGCCATGATTTCTAGAAAGCCCCTAGAAGCGAGTCAATCAGAATTGTACCTGTACTAGCACCTCTAAATTATGTAACCTGTGGCTTTTGCCTTTAAAACTGAGCTTGCAGACAGGCAGGCACTTCCTTCAGCCTCCACTGTGTTGGATGTATTGGACGAAGTCCCTGCTTGTATTGGATATCCCAAATTAAACCTTGCTTTTGCATTCTGCCATGTTCATCTTCGGTGGTCTCTCTGGTGGTCACGATCTGAGCACAACAGCCTGAAACTCACTGAGTCTAGGAGTTGGACATGACCCTAGTCTGGATCTGGGTATAAGGGGAGGAAGGAACTCTTCAGCCTCAGAGGGGCTTAAGTGAAGTGACAGGCCTAGAGCCAAGACAACTAGAGTGTTTCCCTGATTTAGAAAGGCCAATTATTTTTTTTCTTTTCTGCTAACTTTTTTTCCAGACAAGATGTAGCTCACAGTGAGCTCGCATTTTATATGTCCTTCAAGATAACCTTGAAATGCACTTGCTGACTTCACCTATCACGCGCTGGTATTGCAGATATGTGTAGGTATGCTGAACACATGTCAGGCTACAAAAGCCAAAGATGGCGCTGAGAGGAAGTGAGCTGGGTGGGGACCTAACTTGTTTACCAAAAATTATGATTGGATCAGGAGAGATGACGTAGGTGTATAGCCTCCTCGTGATCATCATTCCGAGTTATACCCTGAAAGGCTCATTGATACCTGACCTTTGTTGTGATTGGTAGAAGGAAAGGTGGCTTGTGGTTTGGTGCTTTATAAAGGGTGTGCTGATGCTTAATAAATGAGTTCCTGCTTGACCCAACTCCCCACTGGGTCTGATTGTCTCTGGGTTCTGGGAAGCTGGGTGACAGGCAGGTGGCACACTACCCCTCTTCAGTCAAGGTCATCTGTGGGCAGTGGACCTAATTCTTCAGTGGGGTCAGGGGAACCCCACAGGTATGCACCACCATGTCCTGGATCTGGGGATTAAAACCAGGGCTCTGTGAATGCTAAGCAAGCACTTAGCTAACTGAGCTACACTCCAGCCCCTTTCTAATTTCAAAGGACAAGAAATGGAGTTTCCTCTTCACTGTTACATTTCCCTCCCCCCAAACGCTGTCCCCAGCTCCTGGAACAAACTGCTAAACTGGCCAGCACCACCCCTAGCTCCTGGCTGTCCTCCCACATCCCTGTGCAGGAAAAGGCTGGGGCCTGGGTTCTCCCTTACCTTGGCTCCAGGACCTGATGGGAAACTGCTGGAAGAAACTGAAATATGGCGTTGGCTTCTCTTTCAGCCTGAAACCACCAGAGATTCTGCCAATCCAGGCCCTTTCTCCAACTCAGGCCCGCCTCCTTGTCTACGAGTGTCTGCATAGTGGTGGGTTACTTTGTGGGTGGGTGACTCAGCGCAGCCAGAGAGTCTGGCCTACTACCTGTGGTGGAAACCTTTCCTAAGGGGCTTGGTTTGGTGGAGTTGTCCATGGGTTGGCAGGCATGCTTGAACCCACTGGGCTTTCATTTTTCAGATCTTTTCTATGCTCTCCCAGTGGAAAGGAGGAAAAATTGAGAGGGGGCGGGTGCAGAAAGATTCATAGGCTCCTCCCCACCAGAGAGCTCAGATTGTTTTGCCCAGATGCATAGCAGTGGGAGGGTGTAGAGTGGGGTGTCCTCCCTGTGTGGCTGCTCCCCATGCATACTCTGCAGTGACTAGGGTGGCTGGGGCCTATTTACAACTGTTTGAAATGGCCAAGGCCAACAGGTGACCACCCCATCTAATATTCCTGGAGTGATTAAATCAAGTTTTGCTGAACACACCTGTAGTCACACCTTAAGACACTGAAGTAAAGGGTCATTAGTTCAGCGAAAACATGGGCAAAACAGAGGAAAGCTGTGTTAAAAGGTGCTGGGAACATAAGGAAGGCACAAGGTAACTGCAACCAATGGCTGTTAAACTAAGTACTCACTCCATGTTCAATAGGAAAAGGAAACAAAGGGGGATTCACTGTTGTTAGAATTCGGGTGAGAAATCAAGTTACTTCCCATTCCATTAGTATTTTGCAAAACAAATTATCACAGTAAAAGTAATCTTAGGCTTTAAATGTCATCATTAGGATAGGGAACTTTATATTTTCCTTTTTTCACAACATTTAAGTGATTTCACAGTATACTATGTTGACTTAACTTCTTTTCTTGGAATACACAAAATTGACAATAGAGGCCACAGAACAGTTAAATTTGACATATATGTTCTGAGTAGGTTGGGTTAATTTTTTATGTGCACAGAAAGGTAGCACATTGCATGCTATACTCAAATTTACATGGTTACAGTATAAGGTCCGGTATAACATTGGATGAGGAAAGGGAGAGAGGGGTTGAATTAAAAACAACATTCAAATTTTCAAAATGGAAAAGGCATACACACACTGGAGTTTAACTCCAGTGGGGTTCTGAGCCACATGGCAGAGGTATGAAGTAGGTGAAAACTGTAGATCCTGATCACTGGTTGTCTTTCAAACAGATGGCATCAAACAACTCAAGTTGTTTTTATTTATACAAGTTCTAATGCACTCAAGCTTGAGCAGTTGCAATACATTTCTCTTTAATCATTTTCCCAGAATCATTAACATTCACCCATTGTAGTTTCTTCTCCTTGTCCCCACTCCCTTGACAGCCCTGACCTTTACCCATATCATTCATTTATATTGCATGCCTAATGATTATATCAAACAAGGCACACCTTATATTGTTCCCTAGCTGGAAGCAAACATGCAGTTACAAAAAAAAAAAAAAAAAAAAAGAGATTCAAGCCTTATGATTAGTCCTTAACAATGTGATACTTTTCTATTTTTGTGATCAGCTGAGGATACAATTCCATAGCTAGGATATAATTTTCAGGTGAAAGTCAATTTCTAAATAATCTATGTATCACTTTTATGTCGACAACTGGTATAATCCTACTTTATAAATTCTCAAAATGGTAATGATTATCTAACTCATTAACTGTTGGGACCAAGTTTCTTTTCTTCCTGGCAGTTTCTATGTGTACTTTTCTCTTCCAATGGAACTGGGAGATTTAACATAAAAAAAAGTATCTAACAATTCATGTCCTGGCACCAGTGAGATGTCTGATCATAGTGAGAACTCCAATGGAGTCTGATTAAGGAGTATTAGGGAGTTTATTAGGATATAAACTGGCGAAAACAACTCCCTAAACAGGATAAGTCAAAATCATTGCAGAGTCCTGGAAGGCTAATGGCCAGTACCATGCTGCTTCTGCTGCCTGAGTCAGTCCACACTGTCCAAGTCCTCGAGGGAGAGAAGAGAGTAAGGCATACATGCCCTTGGGCCTTTTTTAAGCTTTATTTATTTATTTATTTATTTATTTATTTATTTATTTATTTATTCATTCATTCATTCATTCATTCATTCATTCATTTATTATGTATACAGTGTTCTTGAATGTATGCCTACACACTAGAAGAGGGCACCAAATCTCATTACAGATGGTTGTGAGTCACCATGTTGTTGCTAGGAATTGAACTCAGGTCCTCTGGAAGAGCAGCCAGTGCTCTTAACCTCTCAGCCATCTCTCCAGTCCCCCTCTCAGGTTTTAAGCTAGTCCCAAGGCCATGCCTTAGGGACTGGTACCTCAAGGTCACAGGTGGAACAGGTACTTAGTACATCTTCTCTTTTTGTCTAAATAAGAAACTTCTAAGCTAATACAAAACTATATACAGTAGGAATGATTACTAAGTATTGTGCAGGAGAGGGGGAGGTAATAACAAATGAAGATAGAAATACAACCAACAAGAACAACATCAAACAAGAAACAAATACGAAATGTCCAGACCATAGGTAAATGGCAAGTTACAGAGATTATTTCAATAGCTGTGCTATCCTGAAGAACCTAACTTTAGTACCTAAAATATTCTTAGCTAAGACATGAGAGAATGATAACTGTAACTATCTAGTCTTCAACCACATCAAAGACCTAAGAAGAAAATAATACTAACTGAGTAAACAGGAAGTGCAAGCAAGCAACTTTGAAAAATTGCAAGAATTGACAGAGATAGATTGCAGTCATCTAATGTTTCTCATCATCCTTGGGGCATCCATTTTGGCTACAGGCCTAGAATATCTGACAGACCACTTTTAGAAGCAGGGATTTTGAAAGACCATCTTACCCTGTCTTTGCAAGTTTCAGCAGTCACTTTTCCTTGTGTCCTGCTCGTCCAGAAAGGACAGATGTGCCCCTCAGATCTTAAGCTAGCCCTGAGCCCATGCCCTAGGGACTGGTACCTCAAGGTCATAAGTGGAATAGGTACCCACTACACCTGACCTTGCATATCCTTTACCTTTTCCTTATGTGTCCCTATAAGTCTTTAATGTCATCCTTTAAGAGACCATCTCCCAAGTTCTGAAGTTCTTTGGAATATAGTTATCTCTTTTCAAGAAGATTACATAAGCAAGAATCATTAACTTTAGTGAATTCCTCATACTTACTCAGAATGACTGCAAAGGTGCCCAGGGGTGACCAGAGAAACCGGTTTCTGTGAAAGATCGAAGAGAGGCTCAATTTCCTTGTAGAAACTTTAGAAAAATCACAGCTTTTTTTTTTTTTTGCCCACTAGGTCACAATTACAACTGACAAAGCAAAAGTGAGAATTAGCATAAGAATAACCACAGCAAAAATTAGAGAGGGAGCAGGCAGTGGACAGCAAAAATTAGAGAGGAAGCAGGCAATGGTGGCACATGCCTTTAATCCCAGGACTCTGGAAACAGGTGGATCTCTGTCAATTTGAGGCCAGCCTGATCTATAGGAACTAGTTCCAGGACAGCTAGGGGTGTTACACAGAGAAACCCCGTCTCAATAAACAACAACAAATGTTAGAGAGGCCTGAAGCACATGAGCTCCCTAGGATCAGTGCAATAGTCTTCAGTATCACCTCATGGGTCTTTGTCAGGTGGGTGGGATTCTCCAAAGGGTATTGCTGTTAGGAGCTCCATTCACAAAATATTTATGCACTGTTTCCAGAGATGACAGCATCACTTCCACCAGTTCAAGATTTCATAGAAGATTTGAGTCAGAAATTTTTCAGATTTAACATTTTCTTTGATTTAACCTTTTCAATCTTATCTTCAATGCCTGAGACTCCCTCTTCCATCTCTTGTAGTCTGTTGATGATGCTTGTATCTGTATTTCCTACTTACTTACCTAACTTTATCACTTCCAGAATTCCCTCACTTTGTGTTTTCTTTATTGCTTCTATTTCCATTTTCAGATGTTGAACAGTTTTATTTATTTTCTTCAACTCTTGTTTTTTATTGACTTTAAGGGATTTATTCATTTCCTCCATTATTTTTGTTTGTCTTTTCCTAGATTTCTTTAAGGGATTTATTTATTTCCTCTTTAAGGACCTCTATCATCTTCATAAATTTTATTTTAAGGATTTTTTTCTTGTGCTTTAACTGTGTTGAAATATTCAGGGCTTTCTGTAGTAGGATAGCTCAGCTCTGGTGGTAACATAGTAGCTTGTCTGTTGTTCATTGTGTTCTCATGCTGGCATCTGGGCATCTGGGTTTGGGGTGACTATAGGGCTAGATGTTGATTCTTGTGTTTAACATTGTTGGACGGATGTTTTGTTCCTTGATTTCTTTTTCCATTAGTCTTCTGGCTTGTGTGGCCTGCGGTTGAACAGGACTGGGACACAGCAATAAAGAGAGGAGGGGGAGGTAGGATAGTGTGGATGGGCATCCAGAAAGTGGGGAAGGTCCACAGACAGGCAACCTACTTGGATTTCTAGAATCCAGAGTAGTGCTGGTCAAGCAGATGCCTCTGTCCAAGTTGGAAACCATAGATTAATGAAATATTTTACATACTGAGTTTAATGGCATGGATTGAACAGGTATTTACTTTACAACTTCAAAACATTAGAAACAGACAGATCTGAAAGTATGGGCTATGTAAATTTTAAAGCTAAAATGAAAGTGGTGAAATTGTATTACATTAATGAGGAGGGGAGGGAGTTGGGGTAGGGTGGAACTGGAACTTACAGTTGAGGAGGTCCATGAGCAGGTGGCCTACCTGGAGTTCTAGTGGCCAGTATATCCTCTGGTTGAGTGGGGGAGTCTCTGCCCAAATCAGGGCCTAGATGTTTTTCATATACTTATTTTTTGGTTTGGTTTGTTGGATTTCTTTTTTTCTGATTTTCTTTTTTTTTTTTTTGTTCTCTACTTTCTTTTTTATGACAGAGAAAGAATAATAATCCGGGTGTTTAGAAAAGTGAAGAGTATCTGGGACAAGTTAGATGAGGGTAAATAATCTGAGGGAAATATAATGTATGAAAAATGTAAATAACACTTTAAAATCTTCATTAATTAAACATTATATTGCCTGCTTTTTCCATATACACTTCAGGTGTAGATGTTCTCCAAGTCACATTGCAATGCAGCTTTAAAAGGTTTTCAATAGAATGGCAGGCCTGAAAAATCAGCACTCAGAAGGTGGACACAAGAGCATCAGGAGTTGAAGGTAAGTGTTGATGACATAGGGAGTTCAAGTTATAGGCTAAACAAACAAATGTCAAAGTAGAGGTGGGGTTACAGAGACAGATAAATATGTGCAGTACTTGCAATGCTAACCTGAAGATCTAACTTCCCTTTCACAAACCAATGTAAAAATACTGGGAAAGGTGGCCTGTGCTTGTAATTTTATTCTGGTGACAGAGGTATGGGTAGACCTAGGTCAGCTAGGGCAATGAGACATCTGTGTCAAGAAAATCAGGAGAGACTGATGATTGACACCTGAAGTTTAATTCTGACTTCCACAGCCATGTACACATAGGCACACATATCTGAACCTGAACATACAAAATAGTATCTTTAAAACAGTATTTCTACAACAAAATTATAATTGCCTATGTATGTGTATAGTGAAAAATATGATCAGAAATGCTCATATCTGTCATCCCAGAACTGGGGAGGCTAAGACAGGAGATCATGGCCAACTTGATTTAATATAGATACTCTGTCTGGAAATAAAGAGGTGGGTTCAGAGAAGGAAGCTCAATTCCAAAGTACTTACATGACATTTGCAAAACCAGAGCAATAAGAAAAGCAAACAATGCAGTCAGACACCTGGAAGGAAATTCCAGAACAGTTCTGTCCAATAGGAGAAAGAATGTGTAGAGGATGTAAAAGGGAATGGCAGGACCATAGAATCAGAAGTGTGGGTTGAAAAGGACACAGATTATGAGAGCTCCGTGCTCATAGTCCCCCAGATGCCTCCCCACAACCACAGCTTTTTGCTATTTTGTTTCCTTGGCCTGGGGGTATCCCTATTCCTACAGCTGGCACCTCACGCCATCTGACATCTCTGAATTCTTCCTGTCACTGTCAAAGCCCTAAGGTTTATATCCTGATCTTGTTGTTTTCTGATGAACTCTCTCATTCCAGGCTGGCTTCAAATTCATTATGTAGAGAAGACCATCCTGAACTCCTGATACTGCCTTCTCACCTCCTCAGTTCTGCTAATAAAGGCATTCACCAACATGCTTGAATTACTTTAATTTTTTTCTAAAGGTGTCTAACTATATTTCTCAGACAATCTTTTTATCAAGGTTTATCAATTCACCTCACTGCCCCTTCTTCTTAGCAGCTGGGAAAACAAGTACTTGCCAACACATAAGCTTTTAATTTGTGTGGTTGTTTTTCATGTATTTATTTTATGTGTGAGTTCTGTGTGTATGTAATGTATGTGTTCTTGGTTTGCATGGAGCACAAAGGAAGGTATCAGATGCACTGGAACTGGAGTGACAGACAATTTTAAGCCACTATGTGAATGCCAATCTTAGGCCAAGAAGGAAATGTAAGTTAAAAGCCCTACAAAAGTTATTAGAAAGAAAACTACAACCCGAGGAAGTTAACAACACCAACAAAAACAGAGGCAATACATAATCTCACAGCAGTAAAACTAAAAGAAAGGAAAAACACAAACACACACACACACATACACACACACACACACAATCATTTGTCACTGGTCATTAATATTCCTCAATATCAATGGAATCAATTCACCAATAAAAAGACACAGTCTAATGGAATGGATACAAAACCAGGATCCATTATCTGGTGCATACAAGAAACACACATCAACACCAAAGATAGGTATTACCTCAAAGTAAAGGGTTGGAAAAAAGTTTTCTAGTCAAATGCACCTAAGAAGCAAGCTTGTGTAACTATTCTAATATCTAAAAAGTAGACTTCCAACCAAAATTAATCAAAAGAGATAGAGAAAGGCATTTAATATCAACAGTGGAAAAGCCACAAAGATGATGTCTCAATTCTGAACATCTATGCTCCAAATGTAAGGGCACCCACATTTGGAGAGAGAGAGAGAGAGAGAGAGAGAGAGAGAGAGAGAGAGAGAGAGAGAGAGAGAGAGAGAGAGAGAGGTTATGGAAGCTTAAATAACAAATAAAACCACACACAATAATATTGGAAGACTTTAACATGCCGCTGTCACCAATGGACAGGTCATTCAGACAGAAACCCAACAGAGAATAACAGAACTAACAAATGTCATGACTCATATGGACCTAACAGATACCTACAGAACATTTTCTTATTAAGAAAACAATTTTTTATTCATTTTACATACCAAAGATGCCCTTCTTCCCTCCTCCTGCCTCCCCCAGCCTTCCCCTCCCAATCCATCCCCTAATCCCTCCTACAAGAAGGTAAGGCCTCCCATGGGGAGGTACATTTAGTAGAGCAGGTCTAAGCCCCCCTCCCCACCTCAAGGCTGTGCGACATGTCCCATCATAGAAGTGGGCTCCAAAAGACCTGCTCATGCACCAGGGATAGACTCTCATCCTACTGCCAGGGTGCCTCCCAAACAGATCATGTCTCACTATACATAGGGCCTAGTCCAGTCCCATGCAGGCTCCATAGCTGCTGATCTAAATTTCATGAGTTTCCACTAGTTTGGTTTGGTTGTCTCTGTAGGTTTGCCCATCATGATCTTGATGCCCCTTGCTCACAGAATCCCTCTTCTCTCTCTTCAACTGGACTCCTGGAGCTCAGCCTGGTACCTGGCTGTGGATCTCTGTATCTCCTTCCATCAATTACTTGAGAAAGGCTCTATAATAACAGTTAGGGTACCCACCAATCTGGTTACTGAGGTAAGCCAGTTTAGGCACCCTCTCCACCATTGCTAGTAGTGTAAGCTGAGATCATCCTTGTGGATTCCTGGGAACTTCCCTAGCACCCAGTTTCTTTCTATCCCAATGATGTCTTTCTCCATCATGTTACCTCTTTCATTGCTTTCCCACTCCATGTCTCTTCCAGCTCAATAACTTCATTTCCTTATGTTATCATCTCCCATCCTCTGTCCTCTATTGCCCACCCCTCATCCCCAGGTTACTCATGGAGATCTCATCTATTTCCCCTTCCCAGGGTGATCCATGTGTCCTGCTTTGGGTTCCCCTTGTTAGCTAGCTTCTCTGGAACTGTGAGTTGTAGTCTGGTTATCCTTTGCTTTACATCT